ATTGAAAGATATGAATTTAGTACTATTGTATTACCTATAAAGTTGCTGTTTCTGTAAATTGTCTCTCTTCCTTTAGTGTTTGTTACTCTTGGTCTCTCTTTCTGCTGAAAGGGTTCCCTTTAATATTTCTTGCAGGGCTGGTTTAGTGTTCATGAATTCCTTTCATTTTTGTCTTGGAAACTCTTTATCTCTCCTTCTATTCTGAATGATAGCCTTGTTGGATAAAGTATTCTTGGCTGCATATTTTTCCAATTTAGGATGTTGAGTATATCATGCCAATCTTTTCTGGCCTGCCAGGTCTCTGTGGACAGATCTGCTGCCAGCCTTATGTGTCTACCCTTATAGGTTAAGGACCTATTTTCCCCAACTGCTTTCTGAATTTTCTCTTTATCTTTGCAATTTGCAAGTTTCACTATAATATGTCATGATGTCGACCTATTTTTGTTGATTTTGAGGGGAGTTCTGTGCCTCTTGGAGTTGAAAGCCTGTTTCCTTACCCACGTTAAGGAAGTTCTCAGGTATAATTTGTTCAAATCAACCTGCTGACCCTTTTTCCCACTTTTCTACTGAGACTCCTTTAATATTGATATTATTTCACTTTATGGAATTACTGAGTTTCCTAAGTCTATGTTCATGATCTAATAATTTTCTTTCCCTCTTCTTTTCAGCTTCATTATATTCCATAACTTTATCTTCCATATCACTGATTTTTATGGCCTCCACTTGGGACTGCATCTTGGTTATAGCTTTTTTAATTTCGGCTTTACTAGATTTTAGTTCTTTTATCTCTACAATAAGGGATTCTCTAGTGTCTTCTATGCTTTTCTCAAGCCCAGCTAGTATCTGTATAATTGTTTTAAATTCTAACCCAAACATCCTACTTATATCTGTACTCATTAAATAACTGGCTGTGAGTAATACCTTTTGTTCTATCTTTTGGGGTGAATTTCTCCATATTGTCATTTTGTCCAGAAAAGAAAAGAAGAAAGAAAAAGAAAACAACAACAAAACAAACAAACAAAACTAGCTCCTGGGTGTGTTTTGGTCTGCTTGTTAAAAGAAACTTGGTCCGAAAATAAGAAAAAAAAAAAAATATATATATATATATATATATATAAAATACAGTGAGAGGGAACAAAAACTAAAAATATATATAAAAAAGTATATATGGACAAAATTTAAAAAGAACTTTTAAAAAATTGAAAAAATAAGAAAATAGCTTAAAAATTATAATAAAAACTAAAGAATAAAAGTACACAGGATACTAGATACTATTTTCTTTAGTAAATTTGGTGTGAGTTGTTTGCGCTGGTCTTCTGGGAGAGGGGACTTTTGCGGTGATTCTCAGGTGGACTTGCTCTAGTGGAAATGCACCTCCAGTGCCCAGGGAGGCAGGGCTTGTTGTGAGCAGCTCTGGATTCCACTAGGTGGTGCTGTTTTGCTCTGTGCCGTCTTCCAGCACTGATCTGCAGGATGAGTATTGCTGTGCCCTGCTCTCTGGCTCCAGAGCTGAAAATTCGCAACCCCCACTCTTCAGTGAGCCCTCACAAAAGAGCAATCACTCTTGTCTCCCCAGTTCCCATCAGAGCTCTGTTCACCCTGCCTGTGTTGAGCTTTTTATCTCAGGCACAGGACTGAGTTTCAAAACTCCAAATTTTAGGGACTCCCACAGTGAAGACCAGCACTACTCCTCCCAGGGAGTGTCTCCAGGTGCATCTGCCTTTTGTTGGACACCTCTCAGGAAAGCAGTCGCTGGAATGTGTGGTGGTTCGAAGTTTATGGCAACACAGAGCAGAAAGCTGGCACCTAGACTCACTGTTCTCAGCCAGCTTCCATGCTCCTTTGCCTGGGAACAGGCCAGCACTTAGGCACCACCTATTCTTCTTGCAACCCAGGGGAATCTTCGGACCATGCTGTCACACCTGGGATTCTGCCCTGCTTCACTGCCTTTAAGCCCGGCATGTCCCTCACTGTAGCAGACTTCTAAAAGTTCCAATTTTGTGATCCACTGCTTATAATACTTTGTGGTAGCCTCCTTAAGCAGGCTCCCTCCCCTCTGGCCATAGCCTCAGCTATATCACACCTGATTCAAATCTCTGCACCTCCTACCTTCCAAATGGTGGTTGCTTTTCTACTCAAAGATTTGCAGTATTTGTTTTCTCAGGCCTCCAATTGATTTGTCCCATGTTCAGAATGATTTGATAACTATCAAGGTCCCCCTACTCCTCCACCATCTTAACTCCTCTCTGTAATTCTTTTTAACTGGTAGAATTCGCCTATGAATCCGTCTGGTCCTAGACTTTTTTTTTTTTTTTTTTTTCAGAATGGGAGAATTTATTTGCAAATGACATATTTGATAAAGGGTTAGTATCCAAAATCTATAAAGAACTTATTAAACTCAACACCCCAAAAACAAATAATCCAGTTAAAAAATGGGCTGAAGACATGAATTGAATTTTTTCCAAAGAAGACAAACAGATGGCTAACAGACACATGAAAAGATGCTCAACATCACTCATTATCAGGGAACTACAAATTAAAACTACAACAAGATATCACTTCACACCTGTCAGAATGGCTAAAATTAACAACTAGACTTTTATTTATTTATTTATTTATTTTAGAAAGGGAGAGAGAGACGGAGAGAGGGATAGGGACTGGCAGAGAGAGAGGGAGAGAGAGAATCTTTTTTTTATTATTATATTATGCTAATCACCATACATTCCATCATTAGTTTTTGATGTAGTGTTCCATGATTCATTGCTTGTATATAACCCCCTGTGCTCCATGCAGTATGTGCCCTCCTTAATACCCATCACCAGGCTAAACCATCCTCCCACCCCTCCCCTCTAGAACCCTCAGTTTGTTTTTCAGAGTCCATCGTCTTTCATGGTTCATCTCCCCCTCTGATTTCCCCCCTTCATTCTTCCCCTCCGGCTATCTTCTTCTTCTTTTTTTTTTAAACATAAAATGTATTATTTGTTTCAGAGGTACAGGTCTGTGATTCAACAGTTTTGCACAATTCACAGCGCTCACCATAGCACATAACCTCCCCAATGTCTATCACCCAGCCACCCCATCCCTCCCACCCCCACCACTCCAGCAACCCTCAGTTTGTTTCCTGAGATTAAGAATTCCTCATATCAGTGAGGTCATATGATACATGTCTTTCTCTGATTGACTTATTTTGTTCAGCATAACACGAGAGAGAGAATCTTTAAGCAGGCTCCATACCCAGTGCAGAACCCGATGTGGGGCTCAATCTCACAACCCTGAGATCATGACCTGAGCCGAGATCATGACCTGAGCTGAGATCATGACCTGAGCCGAAATCAAAAGTCAGATGCTTAACTGACTGAGCCACCCAGGCACCCCCTAGACTTTATTTTTTGATAGTTTTTGGACAACTCATTCAATTTTGTTACTAGTAATCAGTCTGCTCAGATTTTATATTTCTTCTTCATTCAGTTTTGGAAGATTGTATGTTTCTAGGTATTTTTCCTTTTCTTCCAGGTTGTCCAACTTTTTGGCATATAATTTTTTACTGTATTCTCTTATAATGCTTTCAATTTTTGTGGTGTCAGTTGTTACTTCTTTTTTTCTGATTTTATTTATTTGGGTCCTTTCTCTTTGCCTCTGTTTTTCTTCATCATTCTTTTTCTTGAGTTTCCCTGAGCTTCTTGGATCTGTGTGTTTAGAGTTTTCATCAAATCTGGAAACAATTTGGGCATTATTTCTTCAATTATTTTTTTGTCTCCTACCAGTCATGTAGGACTTCAGTTACACATATGTGAGGGCAACTAATATTTCCCATAGGTAACTCATACTCCGTACATTTTTCCAGTTTTTTTTTCCTCTTGTGTTTTATTTTGGATAATTTCTCTTCATGTCTTCAAATTCAGTAATATTTTCTTCTTCAGGGCCTATTCTAATGTTAATCCCATACAGTGTAATTTTCATCTTCAGAAGTCCAGTGTAGATCTTTATATCCTCCATTGTTCTCATCACATTCATGCTTTCCTATTCTTGAGTATACATTAAAAAAAATATTTTTAATAGATGCAACCATGACTACTTATTTCTTTTATCTGTCATTTCTTGTTCTTTTTCTACTAATTTGTTTTTCTCCTCATTATTAGTCATATCTACCTGCTTCCATACCTACTAATTTTTGTATTGAATGCCATGTATTGTAATTTTACACACTTGAATTCTGGATTTTTTATTTCACTGCAAGTGTTCTGTGGTTTTATTCTGAGATGGAATTAGCTGGATACAGTTCAATATTTTCAAGTCTTGCTTTTAAACTGTTAAAACCTGCAGTCTAGGACTAATGTTATCCCAACACTAACACAATATTCTTCTGCAGTTTCTTCCTGATGCCCCTGCATTAAGAGGTCTTTCCACTCTGGTTAGTGGAACACAAGCTATTCCCTTCATTATGTGAACTCCAGGGATTTCCAGGCTGCTCCTTTCCAGTGCTTCTTTTCCCAGCTTCAGTAGTTTTTCCACATGCCTACACTAATCAGTACTTCCAAAGACTTGTAGAGAGTCCTCTACAGGTCTTTTGACTCTTATTTATGTAGTTCTCTTCTGTCTGGTATTCTGCCCCATACCAGCTGCTTTGGCATACCTTTACTTGAAATTCTGTCACTTCAACTTTGTGACTGAAGGGATTTATTTGGCTCCACTTTCCATATCCTGTGAGCAAGAAAATCTCCAAGTAGTGAGCTAGGCACTTGTAGGGCTCATGTCATTTGGTTCCCTTCTCTAAGATTATTGTCCTGTGCTGTCAGTGGTCCATCATTGCAGAAGCAGAGGTACTTCCTTCTTATTCTTTTGAAAATAATAGTAGTAAGGCTTTGTAGATATTCTCTTTTTAGAGTTAAAAGTCATTAAGAGCCACCTTAACATAATAAGGAGAATCAAACTAGGAGTGACTAAAAAGGAATGAGAGTCATTTTCTTGTGCAGGTGGTAAATTAACTTTTTTCTGTATAGGTACAGGACACAGTATCCAATCCTAGGCCTCCTTTATGATGACTATGAATATATACCACCAGATAGTGACACACAGACTATTATGATTGAGAAAACAGAAGACAAATGGACTTGTGTAAGTTCTCTTGTGTATTTCTAATCCTATTAAGAATAGAAATTTATATTCTATATATAACAGCCTTCAAAAATTGTGGTAAAATATCAAAGTGAACTAAAATCTTCCAGTTCGTTTTTTCTCTTAAAGATTTCCCCATGTTTTCCTTACTGATTTATAGTATGAATTAAGAAACTTTAGAATGATTCAAACACAGGTAATATAATTGTTTTTGAACTAATTTTATTCAAATTTTTGGGAAAAAAACACCCTAATTTTTTCTAAAGCAAGTAGAAAATGTCATAGACAATTATGAAGAAGAATGGTGTATGGAGAAGAGGCATGTTTTAATAGAATTTGTCTTTTAGTCTTGAATGTGGTCTTATTACTATAAATAGAAATTTTTCAGTATTTTGAAAGCAAGGAGGTATGTCTGTCTTACTCAATAGATTTTAAGATCCTCCAGCCTTAAATCCCACAATTATAGTGAGGCTGATGAAGAATACTTTATAGGTCATGTACTCTAATATCTACCTTCTATAACATCCTCCAAGATGACCAAGTGACATGGACCTTAGCATCTTTTTAAGTAGGCCAATACATTGCTAAGTGATGCTGATTACTAAAACCCTCTTCTTATAAAGGACTCAGTACTACTTTACTAAAACTTTTACTTATTGTTCTGTTAACCTTTAAAGAGTGAACATCAAATAAGGGATATATTCACCTTAGTGCAGTGGCTCTCTATCAGGGGCAATTTTGTCCCCCTAGGGGACATTTAGCAATGTTTGGAGACATTTTTAGTTTTCACAACTGGGGGATGGGTATTATTGGCATCTGGTGGCTAAAAGCCAGGGATGCTGCTAAAAATCATATAATGCCTAGGACAGTCTCCCACAACAAAGAATTGTCCAGCCCAAAATGTTAATACTGCTGAGGTTTGAGAAACCCTAACATGACAGAATCACCTTGGAGTCTTTTCTTCCTAATTGTATACTCCTACACTACTGCCAAGAGGTTCTAACTGTAAACCATTGATAATGACGGGAATGTATGATATCCCTCAAGAGCAATGGACATAAATAATGTTGAGAATGACAGCTCTAAACCACACAGAATCTGACTTTAACACTGAAAATGACAGCCTTTGTTATGTTAAAAACTGCTTAAGTACTAAAAGCAGGTAAAAATAATCTATGGTTATTAAAATCAGTAAGGTTATCCTTGAAGGCAGCTACTGATTGGAAGGGAGCATAAGGAGGGCTACCAGGATACTAATGTATTGTTACTTGATCTGGGTAATGGTTGCATATGTGTGTTTAGTTTGGGAAAATTCATATTGTTGTATACTTATATGTGTACTTTTTCTATAGGTTTATTATACTTCAATAAGTTTTAAAATGCCTAAGTATACCATGAGGAGCAATAAATACACAAATGTCAATTGTTCTGCAGAACCTTTTGAAAAATTTTTAAAATAGCAGATTTATAGTTAATAAAAGACTGCAGACATTGTTATTACTGTAGATGTATAGTTAATAAAATTAAATCACATGTGCATCAATATGAGGACTTGCCAAATGAAGGGTCTACAGAATAGTAGTCATTATTTCTCTCTCCATTAAAATTGTGCAGCAATAAACATCAAACTTGATATCTGGAGGGGACTAGAGGAAGTTCAAAATATATTTTAGTAAGTTCACAAATTATAGATCTCTCTTAACAGATATGTTTAGACATATTTAGCCTCTAAATAAGATACCAAGGAAGAAATCTACTCAATCCTCCCTTCGGTAATTGAAACATACCTTGACTAAAGTCAGATAAACCATTGTTTCACTGAATGTACATATAAAAAGTTACCACAAAAGTGCAGTACATTTCCTTTGGTTTTATGTATATCAATTTAAATCATTTTCCATAACTGGGTATATACAATAAGAATATCTTAAATGAGGGGCGCCTGGGTGGCTCAGTCGTTAAGTGTCTGCCTTCGGCTCAGGTCATGATCCCAGGGTCCTGGGATCGAGCCCCGCATGGGGCTCCCTGCTCAGCGGGAAGCCTGCTTCTCCCTCTCCCACTCCCCCGCTTGTGTTTCCTCTCTCGCTGTGTCTGTCTGTCAAATAAATAAATAAAATCTTAAAAAAAAAAAAGAATATCTTAAATGAATTATGAACCAGTTGTAAATTAACTTTTTTTTTTTCCTTTTCTAGCCATGAATGGATCTCCAACTCAAAGGAGTTTTTTGTGCGTCTACATTAGTATTTTGTTATTTTCCATAACTAAAGGCCAATCAAAATTTTGAACCATGCTACTACCAGTGAATCTAATGGAATGAATTAGTTCTGCAGATGACTGTTTCTCCAGCCACTAATGAGACTTTTCTATCACATTTTTGTATTCAATAGCAACACCCTGCTTGTTTAAATTTCAATTCTAGACACTGTAGAACATAATGCACTGGTTTTCAATACAGTACTTCCTAGACACGGAATTAATTTGTTGGGGTAGAGATTTTACAAGTTATTCCATTAGAAGATTTTCTGTGATATTAGATGTGCAATTCATCTACAAAAGTAAATACTGTTTTTTAACCAAAAAAAGAGGCAAAAAATATTGAATTTTTAAAATCGTTTACTACATTGTATATACAGCATATATTTGCTTTTCCCACATTAAACTCTGTGACTAAAAGATGCTCTATTACATGCTATTTATACCTTTCGGAGACAACTAAATCAAAGGTGATGGTTAATTTCATTTATCAGGGAAGTAGGAAAATATCTTTTAAAATAACTAAATCCACTAAATTACACATTATACTATTATGGTTCTAAGAACATATCAGTGGCTTGGCTTGACAAATCTGTTCTTTAAAAGCATATCATCCTCAAATAAGTCCACCCACTTCCTTAAAAATATGTAATACTATATTGTAGGAGTGTAGAAGGAAGGCGGGTTTTTTACTAGAAGTATACAACATGTAACATTGAATTGTTACATTAAGGCTTTGGGAATAAAAAGAGCAAGAACAAATACTTGATACCTGTATCTTATTTGGGAAAAAAAGATTTTATAGTATTTAATGCACTTAGAAGTTGATTAATCTAATTAATTAATTAATTAGAAGTTCTAATGACTTTGCAAAGTGAACAAAAATATTTTCCAACTACATTAGTAGATAAGAATGAAATTTCTTAATTCCAACCCCATGGTTAAAGTTAAGAATTGGTGAAAATTAAAATGTTTGCATTTGACAAAGTATAGATTAAGGCAATAAGTATATTTGGGTTACATGTGAATGAGGTTTTGCACTGAAATATCTCTGCAAATACCTATATAGTATTGTCATGCCTTATCATTATATTCTAATAATGATTCATTATACTAAGAAACTATTAAGATAGGAACAGATGAGGCATTATACTAAATCAAGCCATAAATGAGGAGATAAATGCTTTTAATATTCTTATATAAATATTCAAATAGGTCTTGATATGAAGCTAAGAGCCTTATTTTATTATCTTAATACTTTGACTAAAATGTTAAGCTCTATAACTGGATTAATATAATTCCAATTTTATCAATATTTTGTGATAGAAAATGTTAATATTCTTCATGAGTTATATAGTCCTTATATTTTTTCCCTTGGTGTAGGAACAACAGGGCAGTTTCTCCCCTGCTAACTACAAATGTAACAAAATTATGACACATTATCTACCCATTACATATGATATAAATGTAAGTTTTTAGAAGCCTGATAGAAAATTGCTGCCATAACTGAAAATTATGAGACTGACACGCTGCCCACTGTGCCAAGAGGGCCACTTGCCATAACTGAAAATTAGAACAAGTGTGATTTTCCCAAAACGTTCTTAAATAAAAATAACAATGTCCAAAATTTGGGGCAGTTAAAAAATTAACAGTTCAGGTAATTGATCCATGCATAATGAATGGGTGTTGTAACAAGGTGCTCATTAGACTTAACAAACTTAAATGTATGTATTCCTTTTCCAATATGTGGTTAAAATCAATAGAAATAGTAGTGATTTTTTTTCCTCTCACAAGTTTCACACAGCTTATCTTTGAAAATTGCAAAGATACTGTCAGGTGAGAAATGCCTGTTTATCTAATTTCTGTTCCAGTATGTTTTGCTTTAGATATTAAATAAAATGGAGACTGTGTAATTACATGAAAGGTAATTTAAGTGTCTAAATAAAATATGTGAAGGGATGCTTGGATGGCTCAGTTGGTTAAGTGTCTACCTTCAGCTCAGGTCATGATCCCAGGGTCCTGGGATCGAGCCCTCTGTCGGGCTCCTCGCTCAGCAGGGGAGTCCGCTTCTCCCACTCCTTCTCACTCTATCCGTGCTCCTGTGCTCTCTCTCTCTCTCACTCACTTTCTTAAATACATACATACATACATACAAACATACATACATAAAATATGTGAAGTATCTGTATGGTCTTTGTGGAAGTCCTAGTAGGAAACATGTATTTTTAGCTTAGCTGTTTATTTTCATGAGGAAGTTATTATCATGTTAATGTTTATGTTAGAATTACCAAGCACCACTCTAAAATTTTTAAAAATACCTGATGTGGACTACTAGAGACAACACTGTAACATAGATTGACCTCTGGCTGATGTAGGTTTCTGCTTTAAATGAGAATTTCTTTGCTTACAAACCTAGTCTTCCAAGTTCCATAACTCATTGTTTTAAATGTGGTTCCATGAATCATTCTTCCCACCCTTGTAATGAATGGTGCTTTAGCTATAATACATTCTCTTAACACAAACAACACAAAAGGAACAAAATAAGCCTTTAAAAACTTCATCTCACAACCCAATCTTCAAGCAGACTCCGTGCTGAGCACCGAGCCTGACTCAAGGCTGATCTCACAACTCATGAGATCATGACCTGAGCCAAAACCTAAGAATCTGAGGCTCAACTGACTGAGCCACCCAGGTGCCCCTCTAGACCCAATTTATAAGTAAAAGAAAGAAAATCCATGTATTTTTCTCCAGCCACATTGTAACTATGAACA